CACACCAAATTTGAATCAATTTGTTATCAGCATAGCAAAGATTTCGTAAATAACATGATTTTAAAAACCAACCGATACGGCCCTGTACAGTGAAAAGGGTGAGACTTAGACCCTTGCTTTATAAAGCAATTCTGAATTATTTATTGAGTTCTATTTGTGGTTAAAGTTTGATTCAATCGAACTGAAACACCCTGTATATAGGGTGTCCCGGTATTTGATATAAAAAAGGTTCTTCATATAATTTTTTTTCATACGGCCCTTCGTTAACAAGTTACGGGCCCTTAAAGGTGAAAATTAAAAAGTTATTTTTATTTACCGTCTCTAAACTATTAACTTCAGTATGATGCAAATTTGGTGATCGATAACACATGCGTACAGCTTGTTTTTTATGTTGTAAGTGAACCTCATTATGCCCAGAACGCCGGGGACATACTATGCCCAATGGTTAACAACCCAGAATTTTTGCATTGATGGCGACCGTCATCGGCCTGCATCAAAAATAAGTTCTCTGAAGAATTTGCCAACGATAATACTCTCTTGGTTCAACTCGATAAAATTAACAGTTTAGGAACGCCTCGATCGCCTTCACCATTTTTGGTTTTTAATTTTTAATTGGACCTAATTACTATGTTAGAACCGTACATATTTTTATAAATAAGAGCCTGGAAAGTCTTACTGTCTGCTATTGTAATTTTCACTAAGGAAATTTGACAAACACACTTTACACATAACACGAAATAGAAAAAAAGCAAGATGAAGTTAAAGTTAAAAAATTAATTTAAAAGGAAGAAAACTATTGAAATACACTTTCAATATGGACATCTTCCACCTCCACACACTTCCTAAGTCTACGAATGTTATTTGTTTGTACACGAAAAAGCATTTCCGAGGTATGCCTGATATTATCACAATGGAAATTAATTATTTATAGCAATTCGTCCCTTGTGTACTGGAGTTGAGTAGACTAAACTTTTTAGGTATCTCCACAGGAAGAAATCCATCGGGTTAAAGTCTGGAGAACGTGGTGGCCATAAAATTGGGCCTCCTCCCAATCCATTTATTATTAAACACAATAGATAAATAATTTCGTACATCAATATTGAAATAGGGAAGAGCCCCATCGTGCATAAACCAAACGTTTTAATAGTGGCTGCAAATTATTTTGCAAAAACTCCAAATATCGATGTCCATTCAGACGTTCCTCAAAAACGGACCTATTAAATTATTATCCACTCTTCCTGCCCATACATTAATAGTGGGTAATAATTTAATAGGTCCATACGTTTTTGAGAAACGTCTGAATGAACATTGGAGGTATTTGGAGTAGAATAATTAACTAATTTTAACTTATTTTTGTTTTGTTTTTCTATTTTGTGTTATGTGTAAAGTGTGTTTATCAAATTTTGTTAGTGGAAATTACATTAGCAGGCAGTAAGATTTTCTAGGTTCTTATTTTAAAAATATGTACGGTTCTACATAGTAATTATGTCCAATTAAAAATTAAAAACGTAAAATGATGGAGGCGCCGCTCGATATGCACTACAACATAAAATCACAAATATTTGCTAAATTGTTAATTTTACCGAGTTTTACCAAGAGGGTATTATCGTTGGCAAATTCTTCAGGAAACTTATTTTTGATGCACATATTGCGATCGTCACCTATGCAAAAATTCTGGGTTGTTAAGAATTGGGCAAAGTCCGTCTTCTGAGCATAATGATGTTTCACTTACATCAAAAACAAGCTGTACGCATATGTTATCGATCACCAAATTTGCATCGTGCTGAAATTAATAGTTTATAGATTGTAAATAAAAATAACTTATTAATTTTCACTTTTGAAGGCCCGTAACTTGTTAACGAAGGCCCGTATGAAAAAAATGTATATGAAAAACGGATATTATTTTGACCTCATCTATTTGTGCTCGACTTTTTTGTATCAAGTACCGGGACACCCTGTATATTATTTTATTGTTTACTTATAAAAACTTATACTTATACATACTTATAAAAAGTAACAAAAAAATACGTAATTGTATTTGCAATTGAAAAAGCATTAAAATAAAAAATTAATCAACCTACCCTTCCATTAAAAAAGTTGGGGCCCCCTCATAATTAAAAAAATAAACAAACCTCTTTGTAATATGCCCCATTGAAAATAAAAATTGATGTGTTTCAGGAATTTTGCGACAAACCTTTACTTATTAAGTTACAGAATTTGTTCCAGTTAAACCTTCCACTGTGTATAGTTTATTGATGAAAATAAAAATAGTAAGAGTAAGAGGAGACCGTAAACATTTTTATAAAATATTTCAAGGTTTCTTTTGTATTGTCGAAAAAGATGATTATGTTCCTGTTTTATATAAAAAAAGTTAGAGTTTAAGGAGTACTGCCTAAGACCGACAACCACTGCATGGCAAATATATGCTACCTAGTCATAGAAGTGAGAATAACAAAAAAATAATTTTTAAGTATCGCTCTGTATTTCAAAAACGAAGTATTTGTGAACCCTGCGTTCATTTGAATTTTTTTCCTATTTTTAGTCAGATCGCCTGTTCTCATAAAATATTTCATTAAATTATACAAGTCGGTTCAAAAGTTAGAACCGAAAAGGTAAACCCACTAGGATTTTTTTTTGACAAACTAAGGTTATTTTGACCTCCCCTATACACTCCCGACCCTGTATACTTACCAAACACCCTGTATATACACACGGTGTATGCACTAAAAAGTTAGCAATTATGTAGGGAAATGCTAGTGTGTTTTTGATTCACTTTTTTATTAAATATGAAAACTTATTTTCGAAGTGGCTCTTGTATAAGTGAGATTAAGCCATTTTAATACAATTCAAGTGCAACATCACCGACTGCGAGCTTCGCACCTCCTGGAAGCCGGAGCGGAGCAACAAACCAAACAACAATAAATCCACATTAACTTTTTATAGGAAAGTTATCTGAAGGAATCTAATCCTCTAACAGCGAAGTAATTTATTTTTTGCCGCCGCGGTAGTTTGCATAAGTTATGACCATGTCTAAACAACGGCGTTTGATACACTTTTTGACTGCGACCGTACAAAGGGGAATCGTGAACAAAAATACTAGACGGATTCGGATCGTTGACCCTCGCCAGGTACCGGGATTCGACACGGCATTGTGGGACATTATTTTTAAACAAATCGAACTCCTCGAGCTCATATATTAAAAAGCCAACGGTGGAACAATAAAGGGGAGTCGGCACTCTTCGCGGACGTTCCCCGAAACCCAAAAAACTTCGTTCCCAATGCCAAGGATTTGCGCTTTGAACACAAAATGAGATAAAAACCGGTGGTAGTTAAATGAAGGAACGGAATCGTTGTGGCAATTTTGCCCTTTCCTTAAGTAAAGTCTACGACGCTTGAAATTTAAATGTGTACATACGTATATAGTCCAATTAACTAAGCCTTTAAATCGAAATTTTGCCAACTTGGCTGTGATATGAGTTAGTTTAAGGTATATTATAACAATAAGTGAGAGTAATTTTTTGTTCAACCCCCGGCCAAGGGTGGAAAAATATAAAACAAAAGGCTTTTTCAAGATAACTCAGAAAGGGTAAGAGCTAGAAAAAAAAGTTCATGAAAGTTGTAAAGCAGACAATTCTACATAAAAATGGTCTCTTAGCTTTTTCTTGTACTATTAAAATTAACAGAGTTAGGGAGGCTAGAAGTTAAGGGAAGATTTCAGAAATTTAATTTTGTTAAATCATTAAAATTAACGATTAAAAATTTGATTTTTTGTTATAACTTTCTTATTAAAAATTAAAAAATATATCTATTTCTCTGAAAAGAAAAGTTACATATTTTAGAGCAGATTGAAAAAAAATTACAAAATTCAATCATTTTTCTGTTATGATTTTTTTTAAATTTCTGAAATCTTCCCTTAACTTCTAGCCTCCCTAACTCTGTTAATTGTAATAGTACAAGAAAAAGTTAAGAGGCCATTTTTATGTAGAATTGTCTGCTTTACACCTTTCATGAAAAACTTTTTTTTCTAGCTCTTACCCTTTTTGAGTTATCTTGAAAAAGCCTTTTGTTTTATATTTTTCCACCCTTGGCCGGGGGTTGAACAAAAAATTACTCTCACTTATTGTTATAATATACCTTAAAGTACCTCATATCAAAAATTCAGCCAAGTTGACAAAATTTCGATTTAAAGGCTTAGTTAATTGGACTAATATTTTAAACAGCGATACGGTTTATTCGTGTTAAACGTGTAATTAATAGTACTTTTGCGAAAAAATTTATAAAAACAAGTCTGATTTAAATAAATATGGGGATTTTTTAATATAAAACTTGTTGAGAACCGCTGACTTTGCTCTTGTACTTCACACTAAAGCAGGGTTTATATAGTCGCGAATTTGCAAATTGTTATTCGCGTATACTGTTCTAATTGATTAATAATGAAATGATTGAAAAACAATCATTTTTACCTAAAAATAAAATTATTATTATTATCCGAATTTCGCAACTTTATGACCCAGCAACAGCGCCGGATTAAGCCTCGGTGGGGCTTGAAGGGAAGGGGCCCTCATAAACTTCCTTTATGAGAAAGGAAAAGTACTTTTAAATTAATTAATTTAGTAGGTATGCATTTTCTTAATACTAAATTTTATATGTAATACAACATACATTTCCAATGAAACTGATTTGTTCATGTAAAAATAGCATTAGAAATTGTCATTAAGTATTTTTATTACCGTTCATTAGTCTGTTTTATTTTTATTTTTCCGATAGCATGTGGGGCCCCCGGAGCCTGTGGGCCCGGGGCTACAGCGCCCTCATATCACAACAGAGCGAGTGATTTAAATTTGTATGTCTATGGTGATTAGATATTCCATATTATTAAACAACGGAATCAAAAGTTTCAAGCCAGATTATTTCTTGAAACGACGTACCTAATACATATGTGTTGAAACATAACTGATAATGAAAATTGTTCGGTGTACATTATATATAATTTTTTTCAGGATCGCCATGTGAACACGACGGCATCTGCGTGAACACCCCGGGCAGCTTCGCCTGCAACTGCACGCAGGGATTCACGGGGCCCCGATGCGAGACCAACGTCAACGAATGCGAATCTCACCCCTGCCACAACGACGGGTCTTGCTTGGACGACCCGGGCACTTTCAGATGTGTCTGTATGCCAGGTGAGTCATACTTTTTTCTGTCCACCTGTAAATCGTGATAGAGTACTCCTAGTTCTATAGTTTTTTTACTATTTTACTTTACCTGACCCAGAAATAATGGAAAAAGAACGTAATTCGCTGACATAAGATTGACAGCAGCGCGTCAGTGAGTATCTGTAATGAACTAAATTAAAAATTCGGGAAATTTAAATGTGATTTTTTATCTAAGTTGAAACTGATATTTCAGTATATCTTAACATAAGAGAATGTTTAAAAAACTTGTACGTCAGTACACATTGGTTATACAAGGTGTCCCAAAATAACGTGTACAATGGAAGACCACAGATTCGTGGACTCAAAATAGACATATTTAGGCTAATTCATCTATATCCGAAATCGCTTCGTTTAGCCGCTAGATGGCCTCAAAGTTCGTGAAATTTTTTTAAATTTTGTAAATAACGCGAATACGTATTAATCGATTTTGATTATTTTTGGAATAGTTGTCATTATTGCCAGAAAGAGGAAAAGTTATGAACGGATATTCTCACCATACATCAATTTTATAGGAGTTGTAAGTTTTAAAAAACACTGTATAACACCAAACTTTGTAGATTGAAAGCAAAAGTCCACACCCCAATAATAATCAAAATCGAATACCTACTACATACCTATTCGAGTTATTTACAAAATTCAAAAAATTTTCACGAACTTTTGAGGTCATCATTTCGGATATAGGTGAATTAGTCTAAATCTGCCTATTTTGAGTCCATGAATCTGTGGTCTTCCGTTAGACACGTTATTCTGGGACACCCTGAATAGACTAAATACACTCAGTATCATCTTGGTTTTGAAAAAATAGAGTACAAGATTTTTGGGGAGTCTTAAATGTAAGCAATGTATTCTCGTACACCAGATCTGTAGGTACACAATTACGTCGTATCAAAAAGGGAAAGGCTGGAAGAGGAAGGAAGGTTTGTAAGGTCCATGCATGAACCAATTTGAATAAAAAAAATAAAATACTATTTTTCTAATACTCGTAACAAAAACAAAAGTGGTATGTCCAAAAGACAAGACCATGGTATCCACATGTTCTTGGGGTTGCTGAATACGAATCCGGTGTCCGTTTGACCCCATCAGGTCTGGGTTGAGGTCAATTCAATGTCAAATGTAAAGAATCAATTTCCACCAAAGTAAACCTACATATCTATACGTTTTTGGGGTTGTGAATACGAATTCGATGTCCGTTTGACCCGATTAGCTCTGGGTTGAGGTCAATTCAATGTCAAATGTAAAGAATCAATTTCCACCAAAGTAAACCTACATATCTATACGTTTTTGGGGTTGTGAATACGAATTCGATGTCCGTTTGACCCGATTAGCTCTGGGTTAAGGTCAGTTCAAGGTCAAATGTAGAGAATCAACTGCCAACAAAGTGAACCTACATATCTATACGTTTTTGAGGTTGCTGAATCAGAATCTAGAGTGCGTTTGATCCGATCAGGTCTGGGTTAAGGTCAGTTCAAAGTCAAATGTAGAGAATCAACTGCCAATAAAGTAAACCTACATATCTATACGTTTGTAGTCATATTTGTAGCTGTCTGATTAGAGTTTTCGACTCGTGATACAAAATGAATACTTGTTGATTGCAATTCTTTTACAGCTAGTTCATTATCCTCACACGGTATGTATCTTAGAAATCTTCTTATGAAAATGCTTACTGCAAATTATTTTGTTAGTAGGATTAAAAATATATTTGGGATACCACCTTCCAATCCATTATCTCTTAACTGAGGAACTTTTGAAAACCTGCAGAAATTAATGGATCAGCCACTTACTTTTCCCAATTTACGTCACTTTTACAAAAATCCACACTACGAATTGTGAATAACAATCTAATAATAAAAAAACAAGAACAACAACTCCTATGACATGACACAGGGAAACACGAAAAATATACATCAAAACTAAAATGTATTACATTTCTTAGTAAAGAATAACAGTATTGCCGTTGACGCTACTCGAGATTTATAATACCAATGACGTCACTTATCAGTTCGGGGTTAGAAGTGACGCGAAAGGAATCACAGTTTGTAGGCAACCTTCAACTGTAGCAAACTTGCCAGAAACCACCATTTTTTTCCTATAACTTGACCCAAGAGCATTATTTGATATTGGATTTGACTTTTCACCTTGTAACTTTAATACGTCGTACAGATGTCGCTTTCATCTTCAGTGGAAAGTGAATCAGAATGTGCAACATCTTCAAGCAAGATTCTCGCTTATTGTATTAAACGTTTTGCGCGTACGAAGCGGGATAATGGATTTATTTTAACGTAAACGTGTACTTTTTGGGTGGATTCTTCGGCAAATAAATATGTTTAACACGTTCCTCGAGCGCGGGGAGTATTACTAAGCGAAACAAGGCTCGGATGCTTTACCAAATTCAGATAGGCAGCAACTGGTACAGCAGGTTATCGCGGACGCACACAGAATCCACCAGTGGGTTTCCAGCAATCAACTAGTTACTAATTAATGGCGACAGGGGCCTTACATCAGTCACAGGGAATAATTTACATCCTAAGGAAAAGTAAGAGTTGACGATGCTCGGTAGTTCATAAGATGGATACAGAAATCTCCTGTCCTAATTTCGAAACCTTTTTGATGGGGCAACGGTGTAATAAAGTAATTGGGCCAATTAAGAGATGACAAAAAAACTCGTTAATATAACCAGTTATTAGTTTACATAAATTAAAAAGTTAGGCGTTACCTGTCGACATTAATCGCGAACGTCTTTGTTCGGGAGAAAGACAAACAGTGAAGGCAAGGTGCCATATATGGCATTAGATAAAAATGTGTTTCAGCTATTATCTATATACAGGCTGTGTTGCGGTGACGGTCCATTAGAATATTTCAAAGGCTACTTCGATTTGAATTTTGAAAATTTAATTAAAATTATGCCATTATTGTAGCACTGCCTTTATACCGGAAGTCGTCATTTACTTACACTTTCCTATATCTTATCTTTACACTTTGTTACAGTTATTTTAAAAACTGTTTAATTTTGCACAGGGTGGTGAATATTTATTCTCGAATTTGCTTAACTTTGAACCACCAAAACTTGTTTTTTTTAAATGGAATAATCAAAAGTTTTTGTAGAATTTTACCATCTGTCTATCCATATTACACTTCCCTATACCTATCTCTCTTAATTTTTCTGTTATCGACGTTTTTTTGTGATAACTAATTTTACTATCAAAATTATTTTTGTCTGCTTCCATGTGGGCTAGCCGTTAACGAGTGATATGACGTCACAACAACGCTTGCGTGCATGTTCCCATACTCCTTTTTGCAATAATTATTTTGAAGGAGAAATTGTTGAAGAAAAATTATCAGTTTTTGCATATTAATTAATTATTTATTTTTTTTGTGATTACACTGCTCAAAATAATTAGAGGAACACTTATTTAAATCTCGATAACTTTTTATTTGTAATACTATATGTATAAATCTAATAATGCATATCTTAAAGACTAACATTTTGTTCGAATAAATTTACGAAAATAAAACTAATTCACATAATCACTCTTGAGACAAAAGCGCCAATTCAAAAAAACTGCAAGAAATAAAGTGAAGAGTCTGTGATCCTGTCTATATAACATAAAGGTCCTGGTGAGATTTGGTTCACTAATATCGTGTATGCCATCCATTAGCACGAATTACTGCTTGATACCTCCGTGGTAAGCTTCGGATGAGCCTACGACTGTCTTCTTGTGGTATATTCTCCCATTCTTCGATTAGGACATTTGTTAATTGTTGGAGAGTCTGAGGCACCTCCTAATACGCCTATCTAACAAATCCCAAAGATGTTCGATGGGGTTTAGATCAGAACTTAGCGGAGGCCAATCCATGGATTGAATCCCGTGATGTTGAAGATAGTTCATGGTGATAATCGCAATATGTGGCCTTGCGTTATCTTGCATAAACAGAAAATTTTGACCTATACCATAAGCGGCTGGTGTACCGTTCAGCGGTTAGAGTCCCTGGAACTATGACAAGATCGGTTCTTTCATCAAGACTAATTCCGCCCCAAACCATCACTGACCCACCACCAAATCTTTCGACTTCTTGTATGGTAGCTGAAGAATGGCGTTCATATGGACGTCGGTATACACGTACTCGACCATCACAACGACTTAAACGAAATCGTGACTCATCTGTGAAGAGTACTGGTCTCCAATATCAAAGTTGCCATACCACATGCTCACGTGCAAAATGTAAACGAGACCTTATGCGATACGGAGTTAAAATAGGTTTTTGCACGGGTCTTCTTGGTCTCAAGTTTGCTTCTCTCAGTCTATTCCTAACTGTCTGATCGGAAATTTCCAACCCATGAGTCGTTCTGAGCCTACTTTGCAGGTCTTTTGCTGTGGATGTACGAGAACGCAAGGAGGATAGGACTAAAAACCTGTCCTGAATTCGGTTTGTTTTCCTCTTAGGACCTTGTCCAATGCGTCTTTTATATCCTCCGGTTTTTAAGTAACGGTTCCACACGCGATGGATGACTGAAGGGCTTACGTTAAAATCTCTTGCAACCTGTCGAATTCTGGTGCCATATTCTATACTAGCAACAACACGAACGACTTCAATTTCACTTAGATGCCTCATTTTTTACCATTTATGCTGAACTGTCAACATTGTTTACTATTCCAAGGCACAGCATATTTCTAAATTGAAATTTTGATTGTATGTTTCACTTTATTTCTTGTAGTTTTTTTGAATTGGTACTATTGTCTCAAGAATGATTATGTAAATTTGTTTTATTTTCGTAAATTTATTCGAACAAAATGTTAGTCTTTAAGATATGCATTATTAGATTTATATAGTATTACAAATAAAAAAGTTATTGAGATTTAAATAAGTGTTCCTCTAATTATTTTGAGCAGTGTATGTATCAATTAAAAAAAAAATGCTAAATAATCTCATTTTAACATGCTGTCTCTCGGAAACGGATGCAGTTAGGA